AGTAAGTGGTAGAGGCCAGGATTTGAATTCAAGTCAGTTGTCTCTGAAGCACCGCTCTTTCCAGGATGCAAAACAGACTCCCACAGCAGAGGAAGGTAGCGCTGGAAACACACTGGGACTTGCTTCTACTAAGCAGGGCAACTCTCTAGGTGGGGAAAGGGATGCAATCTCATTATAACTCAGACTTCTCTGAATCCTAACTAAAAAATTTCAAATACCAGTAAATATCTTACTTGATAGGATAATCTTTGAGGTTCTATCTTTTGGAATCTGCAGGCAAATTTTAAAGGTAAAGGAAGTCTGCAATCTACCTACAAATACGCCCAAGTTTAGAAAGCCTTAAATGTTTCTCTGTTTACAATCACAAACGTATCAAGCCAAAAGCAAACAGTACCTATAGAGGTGCAGCTTTGGCACACCTCCTACTTTTAAAATCCAGAGTCGGGCACAGGCAATGACAATGGGCACTAGCATGTTTCAGGAGCAACAGCAGCAGAAACATAAGAATTTATCAAGACAAAGTAACAGCACCAAACCAGTCTGAGCAATCAGATGAGAACGATGGTGCCAGTTAAACAGGATGGCCTCTGTCAGCTGGGTCCTCACCTTCATGGGCAACACACTCTTCTCTGCCTCGAATACCTCACCTGGCCCCAAGACACACATACACACACATAAACACCCACCCCCAATCACCCCCCAACACACAGATATACACACACACCTACTCACACTCCTATTTCTTTGGGCATTTATCATTGGCTAGGGGTCCATCTAGAGCATTACCTCCCGAAACACTGTCTGTGTACTCCTGGGGATCCCCAAGATTCTTACACAAGCTCTTCAAGGTCAAAACTACTTTTGCCATAATACTATTATGCTATTTACCTTTTTCACCATGTTGACTTTGCACTAATGGTACAAAAGTAACAATGGGTAAAACTGCTGGGCCTTCGTACAGATCAGGACAGTGGCATCTGATGGTGCTAGTAGTCACTGTATCTTCACTGCCACACTCAATAGAAATAATGCCAGTTTTCTAAAAATTATTAATTTTATAAAACCCTAACTTTTGAGTACCATAGTTTTAATATTCTCTGTGATAAAATGGGAACTAAGTACTTGCCATGAATATTGATATATGAAAGTTGCCTCAAGGAAAAGCACTTGTGTGACTGAGTTGTGAGCTGAACTAGCAGCTTATTTCAAGGAACACCATTTTGACTTGAAATGTAACGACTGACAAATTATGGTTATTCACACTTGGGTATTTGGTGAACAATTGTTTTTTGAAAATTAGAGAAGCCTGTCATTTCAAAAGGAAGAAAGGAAGGAAGGAAAGTACTTCTTACCAAACACGAGAATTAGAGCAGTCAATGCAAAATTTAGAATTTAGGAAAATCTGTATGTGCTATCATGTGCTCGAAGGCTTCTTAAAACTCAGAGTTGCCCAGTGAGACCAGTGATGGCATTAACACACGTGGAGGAAGTGTGTAACTCAGTGAGCCAGTATTTTCCAAGTGATCTGTGCATCATGTTACAGAATCACGCATGGGTAAAAGATCATTCAAAGTGCAAGACACATCAATGGATTTTAATGTAACAGAATAGCGGAAGTTCACTGAGATGATCTAGGTTCCACACAACAACCTTTGAAAAAACCTACCACTTTTTGAGTTTTACCATAGGGACAAGTAATACCTAGAATTATTTGTAAAGGCTATTTAAGAATTCTCCTTTTCTAACTACATATCTGCTTAGGGCCAGATTTTCTGCAAATTCTGCAACCAAAAGAACATACTGCAGCAAAATGAATGAAGGAACAGATAGGAGAACCCAGCCGTCCCTCTTAAGTCAGACATTAGAGAGAGTTTCAGAAATGTAAAAACAGTGTCTCCTTTCTCACTAAAGTATTTCTGATTAGGAAATGGAGTTATTTTCTGTAAAAATACGCTGTCCATGTTAACATGTAATGGGTTTATTATTGTTATTTTAAACAAATTAGCACATTGTTAAATGTTCTCAGCTTTAATCTCTAATATAGTAAACAGCTACAGATATAACCCACATAAACCAAAGCTTCTCAGGGTTGTCAGTTATTTGTAAGATGAAATGGAGTGTTGAGGCCAAAACGTGAGCACCGATGATCCAGACGTCCCTGTTCCTGGATGCTGCCTGTTCTGACCGTCCCACCCCACCGTCGCTCACGGTCCTCATTTCATTACGGGCTCCCTGAGACTACGTGACTAAACGCTTCCTCAGAGCAGGCTGTGAACACCTTACCTATGTTATGCTATAGCACAAACATAAATTGCTAAACCTAGTGTGGGGAATCTGAGCTGAATAAAATCACATGATTTCATAAGAAAACATAATAAAGAGAGAGAAAAAATAAATTGATAGAACTCAAAATAAGGAGAACTCTACCATCATAGTAGAAAAAAACCTACATAAACCCATTTGGTCACTGAGCCAAGTTCCAGCTTGGAAGGGTAAATGGATGTGCATGATTTGGAGGACAGTACAAAGCAAATAAAAGAAAGCAAATGCAACATCTGCCCACGCTGGAAAAGAAATCCATGCCAGGTTGGTTGTGGAAGCCCAGATGCCAGCAAGCAGCCGGGTCTCTGCTGTCACTGACATTGGCTGGCACCCACCACTCCAAATACAACCACAGCTACGTTGCCAGGCAATCGTCACAAAAAAACATAGGCTTTGCATCAAAATAACTTAAAGAATTGGAAAATGTGAAAATGAGTCTGATTTTAAACAGAAAAATCTAGTTATAAGCAAATAACAATTATAATTAATTATACAATTACTTGTGTGGGCATACACATACACATAGGCCACCTTTATATTTTTATTTTATTTAAATGTATGTGTTGGCCGCGTAGGCCTCAGCCATGTTTGAATTTAGGTGGTAAGTTTCCTTGATCAGAAACCAATAGGTCAGAATCTGCATGACATTTTGTGCAGATTCATGCACACAATGAATAGCCAGATCATACATAAAATGACTCAAATTTTAAAATATAGTTTAGATTACACATAATATAGAACATAATATATGACAACAATAAACACTACATATATTTAATATTTTTGTCAGAATTCTTGGAGGTCAAAAATCTAATTGTAACTTTGTAGAGGATAATCTTAATCAAAAATTTAAGAGAAATTACTAGTTTAAGTACATTATTCTCTACTGCCCATCCTTCTGACAAGTAAAATAAAATGTAGGCACACAGAATTCGCAAGGACAGAATTATTTTGAATACTCAAGGGTTCTATGATCAATTCATCTTTTCTATGCTGAAATACATATTTTAATACATTCTGAACAATAATCACTGCCTTTTAAAAACACACACTAACAACCATAATTCAATTACATGATGATGTCTCAGGGCATTATTATAAATGTACTGCTACGATATATAGAAATAATACATTTTCCCCATTTCCCGCTTGCCCTCCTTCCATACACAGATTACATGCACAAGCACACACATGCAGACCTAAAATCTGCCGGGCAAATCGTAAGCGATGCTTTCAGGGTGGCACAAAGACATCTCCTGGTCCAGAACGGAAGGCTGCTGATTTGCCCGTGCCCGTGCCCATCACAAGTCCACACGACCCCCGTACATAGAAGAGGGTGGTGCCCGATGACGCCAAAGCCTATGCTGTCAGGTTGCAGGGGCTGGCCCCGGGCTTGGGAGCGCTCTCTCCTCTCTCTTCATCATTTACCTGCTTCTTCTGTACACCCGGGACAGGGTGCGAGCAGCCCCGGCACTCCTTTAAGTCCACCTGTCCTCCCTCCACACGGCTCTCTGCTGCCCTTTTCCTTCTGCTTCTACTTTTCTTTTTGTTGTTCTCTGCTTCTGCTGCACATATTGGACTTTGTCCTGAAAACCTCACTTTCTCTAGATACTTCTAAGCAAGAAGACCTTTCTTTCTTTAGGGCACCCATTATTCCACAGCCATCACGTATAATGCTTGATCTTTTTGATTATCTGTTTTCTATCAAAGTATGAAAGAGGCTATTCTAAGATGATAAATACTAAGCTGACCTATGTCTTTTAGCTTTTGCCAGAAAATTTCCAAAATGAGAAATTATGTTGCATGGCTGTCCTTCTTCTCCACTTATGTGCAATAATTCCAGTATTGATTCTCTGACCTGCTTAAACTAACATTTTTTCAGTCACAAAACAGTTCCTGTACTAGACACTGTGCTAGGTGCTGGTGACACCATGGTAAGGAAAGTTAAATACCATGGCTCTTGAATAAAAAGCTTCAGCAGTGTTACCAGTTACTCAGGGTACCACACACAGTCCAGCCACTGAGAAACGCTTTAGATACATATAAACTAACCTGGCCACCAAAATTAAGAGTATTCTTTCCAGTCTTTTCAAGTACTTCTCTACATGACAGATAACACCCAGACAAGGTTCTTAAGGAGAATGTTTAGTTGTTCATTCACCCTTCACTAGGGCACAGCCCTCTTTCATGGGAGAAATTACACAGGAAGTTGTAAGAAATGAAAGAAACCCTTTGGGAAGCAATACGTGGCATAAAACACTATTATGGCCGCAGCACACTTACATCCAATAAAATCTTATAGCATCCAAGCCACATTCCAAAGGCTTTTTAAAATTTGTAAAGGCTACACTTAATGCGAGATAAGGGAGGGGCAAGCCCATAGCCTTCTATAAAACTGTTACTCCCTGCTCCACCCACTGAAACAGTATGTAAAGTAAAGCACACATATCACAACCAGACATTAATCAGTTTCCACCTCAGCTTTTTCATTTTGGGAAAGTATCCTTATTCAAGATTTTTCTAGAATAAAGAACTGGATTCTGTAAATTGTTTAAAGAGAGAAAAGAGCCAGGATGAATTCTTAACCTGGGAGTCATTTTGTAAAACTGCAATATTCATTATCCTGGAAGAATCTGATTTCTCTATAATGTTTTTATCACCAATTACAATCTACATACCTGTGTGGCTGCGGATATGAACTCGCAGTGTACCACTGCTGGCAAACTTCTGGCCACAATATGGGCAGATTTTCTCCTTTTCTCCTGTGTGTGTCTAAATGGAAACGAAAAAAAAAAAAAGGGTTGAGGATAGATGTAAAGAATTAGGTACAAATGATTAAGTGCCTCTGACAACAGTAAATCCTTTTTTTTCCAGGATTACATTTGTTTAAAATGATTTAATATCACAATGAGGTTTTAAACAATTTATTGTGGGTATTCCCACTGGCTCAAAAAAACCTCTTAGAATCATGCATTAGTGTTAATTTGAAAATAATTCTGCAGTTTACTTTTTAAGCGTTTATGGAGCCCCCATCTAAAAATGATTAAGTTATACAAAACCGGTATATGCTAGCAAAACCACATAATCAAAATGGGGCTGCAGCTGCCCTTGACTGCTGCCAAGAAACACTTTCTTGGGAGCTTTTTTCACATTCTTTGTGTGTATTTAACGCTTGAGGACAGAATTAATCTCAATAAAGTAATCTGTTACTTGCATTATGTTTGTCTGACTGGACTGAGTTTACTGCAAAGTACAAAGGAACAGAAATCTGACTTGATCTTTGAAATCAGCAGGTGCTAATTGAACAGTCAATTTGAAAGAACATTCCTGCCCTCAACATACCTTTAATCTGGGCATCAAACAACCACACGAGGAAAGGTGAATGAGTATCATCACAAGCCAGTTTCGACAAAATGTTCGAGTTCAAAGAAAAAAGAGTGACCTCTCCAAAAAGAGGAGGCAGATGGAGGGTTTTAAACTTGTCTCACAATCTCATCAGGAGGCCAGTGTTTCTACCAACATCAAAATGGGTCATTCCAATAAATGCGAGGTCAGAGCTATTTTTCAAGTCCCATTGTTTTTCAAACTCAGGAGAAGGGAAAAGTTGGGAGAAGGAGGCAATGACTTCAGATATCTGCATATTCTCTCTCACTGTTTTTAGAATTTATTTTATTTTAACTTTAACTTAAATATTAATAAAAGCATATAGTGAATCATCTGGGTTACCATCTTCATCACAAAGCAGAGCTTCCAGGGCCTGTGTTTGCATTTGCTTTTAAGCAAATTACTGGCAAGTAGTATCATTTGAATTTCCATGAGCTACTGTAAAAAGAATAGGAAAGGTTTTTAAAAAATTATGGGTTCCCAGAAGGAGAAGACACACTGGCTGGGATAGAGAAAAAGGGATGGGACAACGATGTCCCCACCTGACAACCTCAAAGAACCACAAACTCAGCAAAACATTCTCAGCCTCCATATTAAACTAATTGTTAACTTTAATATAATTGGCTTCATAGTCTTATTGGTTGATACTTAACTTGTAAATTTCCATATCTGAATTATCATCTGTATTTGGATATACACTATCACATTTGTAAGTTTTAAAAGAGTTACAAACAAAACACCTTACCCAGCATCAGTGTCCTTTAGATTGTTTTCCCCTTGGAAATGATTTATATTACACTCAAGTGTGAGGAATACAGTCTAATCAGTGTCCACCTTAGCCAATGACACTGTCTACAACAGACATTTCCTTGATTCTACATTTGGCAGGCACTTAACTTTCCATTTTCACTACAAGTCCTTACACAGAACAGCTATACATTCTTTATACCTCAGCAAGAACTGCTACTCCCATGGTCCACATTATGGTTCAGTTTAAAGGAAATGGTGTAACATTTTTAACGTATAACAGACCTGTGTTCTTCTTCCCTGACAGAAGGGACAAAATATGGCAATTCTTTCTTGATTAATGTAAGGTTGTTTAGAAATTGTACACATCTATTATTACAATACTGGATTTTTCCAAACAGCCAACTTCCAATTTATTTGTAATATCTTTATAAAATCCACAGGATTTCTTGCTGCTACATAAATATTTCATCGTTTGCTTACAAGACGTCAGTTGCTTACCCTTCAGTGGTATAAGGTTCAAAATAAAAGGCATTAAGGCAACATTAATGAAAAAAATAAAAGTGTTCCTTTTGGCTTAACTCAAAAACATATCTTATTATTAGGTACAGAATTTGATTAGTTGATATTAAAAAGCACTGAAAGTATAATACTAAAATTTCTTAAATTTGGATAAGAAAGCACGGAAACAGATCACTGTGAAAATGATATTGGGTAAATGTATGAGACAAAAATGAACAATGTACTCCAGAATGTAGTCTATGACAATCTGTTATTGCAGACAAATAACTGTATCTCTCTTGAAAACACACTATACTTTTCACTCAGTGATTAAAATGCAACAAAAGTGTACTAAATTCATGGAAAAAAGTAATCCAAGCAAAGAAAGTTGAAAGACTAAACTATTCAGAGATTTGAAAAGAGAAGACCATATCAATATTACTGAGCATTAAAGATACAGGAAAAGAAATTTACTCAACTCAGTCCCTTTGAAACAGCTGTATTAAGGACAGGTACCAAAATTAAAATCATGACATGGGAGTCACTTCACATTGAATACTCGCGGGGCACACTGAGCAGCAGAAAACTACCACACTTCACACTCATTTCTAAGGTCAATGTTAAAACTTTAAATTGCTTTTCTTATAATATCAATTTTGCTATTTTAAAGATACACTTAAAATGTATTTAATCAACAAATAAAAATAAACTGTTGATTTGCTTGGGCCAATTAGCATAACACAAATAAGGTAATCTCCAAATCACCATCAGTAAGAACATCATTTTATTTGAGCAGGGCAGGTAGGTTCTAGGTTTCCCTAGGTTCATGCAAGAGGAAGAAGGACCACTCGGCTCCTACAAGAGCTCTTCTAACAACCTGTCAATAAATATCTGAACTAGCTTTGAAAAATAAAACTATTCAAGCTCTACTCAATATCTTTCAAAAGAAACCTATGTTAACAAAAAAATGTGTAAAAATCGAGAAGCTCCCACCAGGTACTTTGTATGACCCATCTATCAGCACAGCTTCGGACCGTGTGGAGTCCAGACCCAGATCTAGGTCTGCTTCTATATGATAAATATGACTCTTCTGATAAAATGAAGAAAATAGACATTTGCTGAATGTATCAATCATGTGTTCCTTATTTGTCATTTTGAGTAAATATTTTGATAAAGTTGATCATCACATGCTAATTAACATACATGCCTGTTGACATTAAATACGTAATCCAGTCAAATTCGAGGAAGGTTTCTACTTACCTTCTTGTGACTTCTAAGCACTGAAGGTGTAACAAACGCTTTATTACACAGCTCACATCTGTACTTCTTGTGTCTTTCATGGACCACCTGGACATGAACATTTAAGGTATCCTTCCTTTTAAAGGTAGCATCACAGTGATGACACTTGAAAGTCCTCTCACCTTAGAAATGAAAAAGTCAAATAAGAGAAACACAGACACACAGCAGGGTGCTATTAAACCCCCTCATGAGTACCAGACTCAGTGTTGTTTTCTCCAAAAAGTAGTTAGCGTGTTCACAGCTCAATTTATCATAACCATTAAAGGTGATTTTTCCAACACATTTTCAGTTCCATATTTGCTAATTCTCTGTGTGAAGGCAAGGAGGTGGGGGAGTCTTCTAACCATCTTGGACCCTCAGTGTCCTTAACTGGAAAATGTGAGGATTGAATTGGCTACTTTTCTAAAGGTACCATGAACTTTCTTTAAAAGTATGTATTTCTAGGGCAGGGGTTCGGATTTGTGGTAAGTAGATACTTGTGACAAAAGGCTTCTGTCCAGCAGACTGAGCTGCCTTTGGGGTCTCTCCTCAACTCCCTTCAAACCCCCCACTCTCTCCCCGGCCTTCAGGGACACAGCAGAACTGGGTCCCAGGCAGCAAGCTGGAGGGATGCCCCTGAAGGCAGATGTCAGAGTGGGCCCTTCATCCCGGGACAGGAGCAGCCTACAACATGCCTTCCTTCCTCAGCACTCTCTCAGGACCCTGGACTGGAGGCTCTCCAGTCAGTCCTCGGTCTGCTGCGAAATGGCTGGAGAAGGGGTTCAACTTCCAGGCTCTCAGACAGTGTGGGAGTTGCCTTTCAGAGAGGAATCTGGATTGGGGCAGGGGGACCCAGATCCCCTGGGGCCCTGGGAAAGTTTTCCTCTTCTTCTTCAACAGCTTATGCTTGCAGGAAAGGAACTCCAGAAGCTGTGTGTAAGGAGTTTATGATATTTTTAAAACTTTCACATCATGCTATGTCTAAAGTTTAGTGGTCCATTTTAAATACATTTTAAGCTAACAATGTGCACAATTAGAAAATAGTGATTATCTCCTAGGAAGTTGTAACACACATGTAGTCTGTATAAAGATAGACTAGTATTTGCAGATATTTCCTCTTTCCAGAGAAAAATTGCAATAGCACAGATTCACGTATTATACCCACTATGAGACAAAATCTGCAGATAACTTCCTACGTCTGGATAAGAGAACACCTCAATTTCAACCAAGCTCTTCTAACTTCCCTCCGTTTTCACTAGTATGAATTTAAAAATGTGAAGATCTTATTATTTCTCCATACCAATTTTAAGGAAGGAAGGACAAAGAGAAAGAACAAAAAAGGCAAAGGCAAATTACCCTCCCTTTGTCTTTTCAAACAGAACTATAGCTTTTAATTTAAAGTCTCTTAAAGTCTCTAAGGAAGTTGTTGAGTTGTTGAAATTTGACGCTTGAAACAAAGTCACCCCCAAACCGGGCAGGAACTGTGTCGATTCTGAGAGCTGTGTTTACCTGCTGCCTTTGTGCATGTTTGTAGCAGGGTGTTAGTGTTGTCACCTGGCTTGCTTTATGTATCTTTTCAGATTTATTTAACATTTTATTTGTATAAAATATATACCCAGTAAGAGTAAAAGGACAATTGATAAAAGATTGTAAATGGTAGTAATACCAAATCTATTCAAGCACTGGAAAAAAAAATACTCTAAGACTGCTCCTATCAATGTATTTCCATTAAATCATCAGGTGAATCAAAATATTGGTTCTTGTACAAAAATCTCATCAAGCTATACCAAGGGAGTCCATGCCGTTCTTCTTTCATATTTTAATTTCCAGATTTCTTTGTTTTAACTTTATCAGAATTTTAAAATTCTGATATTAGATTTTACCTGATTTTATCAGATTTCTTTACCTTAAATTTACCGGGATTTTCCCCTTTCTTAAAGCCAAGATGCTAGCTACTAACTTACCTTTTGGTTTTCAGTGGATTAGATAATAAAAGTAATTTCCAAAATAATTATGACATCTTATTCTTCATATTTTGAGCGAGAATGCTGATGTTAAGTCTCTAAAACAAACTTCATGTTTTGAAATTAAAAGGGTTTTTGTTTCTATATTGTATAAGACAAGATCTACTCTCTGTCCTTTCCATTTGCACCACTTTGGTTTTGCCATCCTTTTGGCTCACTAGCCTTAACTGATGTTTACCTTAAGTAAGGCATTTACTTACTCCATTACCAAGGTGACTTTCCTAGCTAAATATCTTAATGCAGCTTTATAAAGTCTCTGACTGATGTGGTGATCAGCATTATATTAAACACAGAACGCACAAGCACAGTCTACACCTGGTCACTTCAATCCTACGTCTCAAATTGATGACAAACAATAAGCTGAAATCAAAAGTATTCAATTCTTTCTATTAAAAACCCCTTGCTGCTATTAAAAATAAAATTTCATCTGTGCAAAAAAAAAAAAATTCCCTGAGCATCAGATCAAGTTTAGCCACATAAGTCTTAATGGTATGAATGAGGCTCCCTTGTCTAAATCCCTGTTCTAAAATCCCTTCATCTCATAATAGTTATTTTTATCAATCAAATGATAGTGAAATGGGATGGAAATTCCTGCTGTTACATGACATATTTTATTTCTTAAATACACAGATGTTCTTTATAATGAAAATGTAAAGTAGTGCTAACAACTTCTCCAGAGCTGTAAGGCGAGCAGAGAATGGCTGAGATCACAGCACTGTCTTTCTTCTAGGCAAAGAGGCATTTTATCACAATCATTACCACTCAATAAACAGAGAGACTTCAACATCTTTATTATGTTGTATTTTAAATACTTTGACTTGACCAGAGAAAATCTCTTCCAAGATGCTAGCCTATCTGTACAATCAAATGTCAAGACTGATTAATTGCTCTGTGCTCCTCAGAAATATTAACAATTTAATCAGCAGTAGAAACTTCATGTTAGAGGATGTTCCACTGAAAACACAACTCGAATTAAAAGCAAGCATATAAATATTATCTATGTTATACCATTTTAATTTAATTTTAGATACAGTAATGTAGTAAATCTCTGGTAACTTCAACATCTGAACACAGAACCCACTTTAAAACCCCACTTGGCCATAACACTTTCTTCTCTGAAATAAAGTGACCTCCTTCAGCAATACAGCTATAAATTGTAGTATTCTAAAAGGAGCTCTGAGTGTAACCACTAGACAGACTTTCATGGTATTTATGTGAATAACTTATTCCCCCTGCAAAAAAAAAAAAATAGCGCTTGCCAGACAAAGTAAGAGCTCAGAGGCAGTGTGGTAAGCAGGAGGAGCGCCTGACCACTAGAGGCACGGGGGCCGCCCCCAGTGCTGTGCAGCCCTGAGTGTGTCGCTGTGCTTCTCGGAGCCTTAGTTTGCTCAATTCCCCTCAAATTAAGAGGTTAAATTACACAGTAACTCTGATCCTTCCCAGTTTTAAAAGTCTGTGAGCTAATAAAGTCATGCCAGATACCTGCATGTTTTAAAGAGTCAGATTTGTTTCCTTAATCATTACATTTAAAAGGAAACAAAAATGTCTGTTTCAGAACAAATTTCAAAGATACTTTATTGACATGGCATGTTTTCATACACAATCTTGAAATAGTGGGAAAAAATTTTATAAAATGATGAATCTTACTGTGGGAAGATAAAGCAAGGATAAAGGAAGAAAAGGTGAAAGGCAGTTATCAGTCCTTTTTAAGTTTAAAAGCAGATGACGTAACTACTTACAGGTCTGCTCCTATGACGGCTACATTCACAAAGGTTCTAAGAACACAGTGTGAGGTAACTCCTTTGGTCCTCGACTGCCCAGACTGTGACTTACTGTTATGGATGAGCAGGTGTCTCTGCAAAGAAAATGGGGTCCGGAACAAAGCTTTACACTCCTCACACTGGAAGGGCCTCTCTTCAGAGTGGGTCTGCAGACGAAAGACACGGTCGGAGTCAGGAGGCTCTAGAATCAACTGGTCATTACAATTGGAGCCTGATGTGAACGAGGAAAGACGGGAAGGTGGACACTATCCCATTTCTTCTGGTGACTTCTTCCCCATAAACTTGGAAACACAAATATGCTGTGTTCACCGGAGAAAAACTGTCTTTTTAACGTCTCACATGAATTATTAACTTGATACACAGTAAAGAAAATCGTTCCTATAATCTCAAATGCTCATCTCAATACACACTAAGATGTCTCAGGATCTACTTTGCTGAGTGAAATGATACGCAATTGCTCTAAAGATTAAACCTTCTTTATCACTGGACAGACTTTAATGATGCTGGTACAACATTCTCCACACAGATAAAGGACACTGCTATAAGGGAGATTGTTTCCATCCTTTCTGTTTCAACTTGACTGAATAATTTCAAGTCATTTTTAATCCTAGGTGCTGCTCTTCCCCTAAATCAAACTGGAGTATTTATTTACTCGTGTTATATTAATTCTGGATAACATTCATTAAATATTTATTTTATGTCAAATGCTAGGTTAAACACTTTACATGAATTATTTCACTTCATTCTAACAGCAATTTGATAAATAAAATACTACGATTGTCCCCATTTTATAGATAAGAAAACCAAGGCTCAAAAAGTTTCAGTAACTTGCCAAATGTCAAACAGCATAGATGCAGCAAGTATGATTAATCACATGACAGACAAAAATAAATGCGTAAACCAGCAACAACAGAAAACCACCTGCTAGATCTGAAAGTCAAAAACAAAAACAACAAAACAACAAAACAACAACAACAACAAAACCCCAGCTTATTCACTTCACCTATTTTCCATTACACATGAGTATTAACCCATTTGGCATAAATAAGAAAATAAAATTCTATTCTACCCGATGGCAAGAAAATAATGCTCACAAATGCTAAAATATAGAAAACGGAACTATGTTTTCTTATTGCAATAAAGCAAATCACATAATTGATGGCTTTTTATGATATCTGTGATATAAAAATAAGGGAATAATTTAAGGAAAGGTCACTTTATTCACAGCATATAGATTTATACCTGATTAATGAATATTATAATATTAAAGGTACAAACATTACCTATTAACATAATGTTAGTGAAAAGGGATTATCATGCCTGTTTTCAACTGTAAAAATATATTAAAAGGATGGGAGGAACAAACATTTAAAACTCAGGATAAACTACAGATATTCAAATGTGCTATTTAGCTGGGAATAAATATATACATGAAATAGAACAAAAAGCAGGTTTCTTTCATTACACAAGATATATGAACATTTAATATAGGAAAATATGGCATTTCAAATTGGGAGCAGAACAGTGGATTATTTAGTAAGTGGTTGTGAAGCAACTGTATAGACATTCAAAATGAAGTTGTGTCTATTCTTCACCCCTTAACATCAATAAAATTTTTTGAAATTTAAAAATTTTTTTAAATTTTTGAAAATCATTTCTATTCAGATGTTTTTTCAAATGTGAAATGTAAGACACTAAATAGAGTAGAAGAAAATACGAGTGAATATTTAAATAATTTTTACTGTTATTTACTAAAAAGGCTTCTAAGGATGCCAGAAACCCAGGAATTCAGGTGAGGGAAAGGATTAAATTTAAAACTGCAAGACAAAAACGTTTGGTGTCAAAGACAGTATTTACAACATCAACCAAAAATTTAAAATTATTAATATAAAGAGTTATAGCAAATTAATAAGAAAATGTAAAAACTCCAAAAAGGGGGCAAAAGGACTCTCCTCCAAATAGCACTCTTAAAATTTCATTCATTATTTGTTTTGTGCCAAGTCTATGATATGCACTTCATGCCACTGCATGCCAGTCCTATTTTACATGCTGAGTATATAGCAGTTAAAAAAAAAAGAAAGAAAAAGACAAAAGTCCCCACTGTCATGGAGCTCTTAAATTGGTGGAGAAAGAAGGACAAATTAACAAACAGTAAATAGGAGATACATGCTACAGAGAAAAATAAAGTAGGGAAAAGGGACAGCAAATGTTTCAGAGAACAGGGCAGCAATTTTAAAAGGTGTCAAGGAAATTCTGGGTGAGAAGTGACACTTGAGAGAAGATCTGACGTAAGCGGGGGAGCAGGTGCGGGTCTCTCTCTGAATAAAGAAACTCAGGGACGTCCCCACAGCCTTAGGCACACTCTTCCCTCCATATCCACGGACCAAAATCCAAGGACGCCCAAGTCCCTTATACAAAATGGCATAGTACCTGCATACAACCTATGCACATCCTCCCGTATACTTTAAATCATCTCTAAATTGTTATAGTACCTAATACAACGTAAATGGTTGCCAGTGAACAGCAATTCAAGTTTTGCTTTTTGGCACCCCCTGGAATTTTTTTCCAAATAGTTTCCATTCGCAGTTGGTTGAGTCTGTGGATATGGCACCTGCAGACACAAAGGGCCAACTGTATACCGTGATCAAAGCAAAGGGAATTTGCTAAGAGAAGAGATGAAGTCTTCCTTGGAAGGTGGCAATTTAGATTCCCAACGCAGGGATCTTCCCCCTCTACAATACTGCTGAGAGACGGCATCTCATATTTCTAACCAAGGGTGCCCCTAGCAAACACAGTTTGGAACACATCTGCTGATTTAACCAGTAATTTGAAAGTTCTGCTTCCACATGGCCAATATTTATTACAGCTAGTTTAGAGCCATACAGAACAAGTTTATTTTCTCTTCCATAATGAAGCTCTTTGAATATCTGGAAACAGCAACTATGTCCCTTCACAAACTGTCCAGATAACAGACACCTGTGGCTTCACTCATGAAGATATAGTTTTCAGGCACATCACAATAATAGTAAAGCAGAATTTTCTGCATAAAAGAAGGCATCCTGATTTTTATCATTCATATGGAACAAATCATAGCAGCTATACCTACTCCTCTAGTGGATAACTTGTTTGCTAGGCAAGATAGCTAAATAAATTGGTAATCTTGCACTGAACTTTATGGGTCATCCAAAAAGAAATGAGTGCAGATTTTTAAAGTACAAACAGACAAATAAGCAAGAATGGACCAATCCTAGTCCTATCAAAAATTACTCTCTCTAAAAATTAATACCAGTCCTTCTACAGGAAATTGTTTTCTTATAGTATAAATCCTCAGAAATTAACAGATAATAAGAAACAGGGTGAGGATAAGATTCCAAATATTTGGTCATGAAAGATAGATAGGTAGATGATACAAAGACAGAAAGTAAAATGTATATGCACGTTGTGTGTGTGTTTAAAACCACCAACCGCATAGTCTCAGTTGAAACCCTCATAAAAACTAAACTAGCCTATTTTCAACATAATACAGATGCAAACCAAAGTCAAAAGACCTGAGTTTAGAATCACTTTCTAATTTTAAATATACAACACCCAATATGGATATTAGGTTCAAACCCTGTTTTTTACTGAAAATACTGCACTTCCACGTATTTTAATTATCACATACAGTTCTCATTTGTACATCTCTAATTCTCACTGGTTCAGGTTTTGCAGTATTTTCTAGTACGATACAAATTGTTATATGAGAGAGAAGGATGTCCCTTTTTCAAAAACATAATACTTTTCCATTTAATTAACTTGGCTGCCACAAACTAACACTGTTGACATCACTTAAAATTCATTACCCTGTAATATTGAGGGTTCACATAAGTATTCTTCCTGCCCTCACACTAAATTGCTCCCGTTTGCTATGTTCTATGAATTTCAGAGTTTACTTTTCAAAGTTTTTTGCCTTCTCTGAGTGTAACAAGCCATCACCATATTTTTTGGCTATGGCTAACCTAACTGAGTCTGGTTTTTTTTCAACCCTCTTACTGAATCTTCTCATAGATCCCATGGGCTGAGTCAATCAAGCTTGGCAGAACTTCAGGCAGAATAAAAATGAAAGGGTTAAGGGCCAAAGCTCCATGTTATACTAAATAACATGTTTTAATACATGAAAAAGTAACATACTGGTAGTGGAGAATTAATTTAATGATTATGGAGGAAAATGAGCTGTTTTTATTTCCTGCCTTGTCTACCCAAAAGGGGAAAGAACAAAACATTTCTGAACCAAATCACTCACAAGAGCAAGTGCTTATCAGAAGAATTTTTGTGAAGAAGAGCTGCTTTTTAATATATGACACTGATTTCCAAGAAGACAAAAAGGAAGCAGTCATAAGCATCTGCTTATTAATATTACTCTTCCTAAAACACCACATAAAAGAATTTTGAAGAAGGAAAACTACAAAGGAGCCCTTGTCCAACAGATACTGAAACATGTTAAACTGCAATTATTAAAATAGTATGACATTGCAAGAGAACAGAGATTAAAAGGAACAAAATGGAGTCCAAAAACAGATCTATATGAGAGGTTTTTAACAATGTGAAAGCAGTGGTTATGAATCAATATTTCATTCCATACCTAAAAATAAATTATTGATGGATTAAAATACCAATAAAAAGGAAACAAATATAACTTTAAAAAGAATTGATGAGGACTTCCACAATCTTGGAGTAAGAAAGTTTTCTAAGTAAAGCATGAAGCTCAGAAGCTGTAAATACTCAGAAGTCATACAACACATAATCCATGTCATACTTAAAAACGTAAAACTGTAAAACTTCTTTATTCCAAAGATGAAAGTTGATAGATGAGAACAAATATTAGAAACTAAAACAAATTAATATTCATAATATTTATGGAACACCTAGAAATCAATGAGAAGCCATAAAGAGGCCAGTGGAGAAAGGACACAGAGCACCTACAGGCATTTCTCAGAAGAAATGTAAATGAAAAATAAACATGAGAAGAGTAGAAGTTCACCCGCCATTGCTAAAATGCAATGAAATATCAATTCTCAGACTGAAAAAAAAAAAGGCTGATAGAATCAAATGATAGTGAGGGCACAGATAAAGAGGCACTTTCCATCACTGCTAAGTGAAAATTGAG